TTTCGGGTTTAGGGTCGAGGGATGTCGACAAAGTGGGACTTCGGGTTTGGAAGAGGGGCTTTAGGCTCAGAGATTTGGGAGAGGGAGTAGCGTTTAGGGTTTCGGGTCGAGGGACTCGGGTTTTAGGGCTCAGCATATGAGGACCACAAGGGAGGTCACCGGGACGCTGATCTCACTCCCACCTCCATTTTACCCTGGTCCTTTGCTTTTCGTCGATACTCCAAATACCCTAAACCCTAAACCCTAAACCCTAAACTCTAAACCCTAAACCGCGAAGTCAGGACGATTGCAACCCTCTGTCAGCAGTATAAGCCTTGGAGTCCCAGAGAGCCTGCATAAACCCACGAAGCCCCCCTAGGGTTTTGGGTTTAGGATTTAGGGTTTAGGATTTAGGATTTAGCATTTAGGATTTCGGGTTTCGGATTTAGGATTTAGCATTTAGGATTTAGGGTTTAGGATTTAGGGTTTAGGATTTAGGGTTTAAGATTTAGGATTTAGCATTTAGGGTTTAGGGTTTAGGGCTTCAGGGTAGCACAAGTTTTTCCGAAAACTCACCTGGACTGCACCCAGTTATCGAACCTGTCACCGCATCATCTTGCCTGGAGTCCAGAACTCCGCATATACCCCAAACCCTAAACCCTAGACCTAACCCTAAACCCGAATAAAATATTCGAGGTGCCCTAAACCCTAAACCCTAAACCCTAAACCCCTAAACCCTAAACCCCTAAACCCTAAACCCTAAACCCTAAACCCTAAACCCCAAACCCTAAACCCTAAACTTCAAAGCTGGAGGGATGCAGGTTCGAGGGCTCCGGGGCTACAGCTTCAGGCTTTACTTAGGGCCCTAGACGATTCCAGAAGCCTCTAGGGTTTAGGGTTTAGGGTTTAGGGTTTAGGGTTTAGGGTTTAGGGCTTAGTAAGGTATCCCCAGGGCTTTTTCTTATATTTTTAGGGTTTAGGGTTTAGCGTTTAGGGTTTAGGGTTTAGGGTTTACCTACGCAGTAATCGTCACATTGTACTGACCCGTACTCTGATCTAACTGGATTCCCAAGTTCAGGCCTGGAGGTCCCACCCCAAACCTCTAACCCCTAAATCCGAAACCCTTATATAACCCTAAAACCTGAATCCTCAACCCTGAGCCTAACATCCTAAATCCTGAACTAGAATCCCCAATAACCACGTAACAATAAGGGCTCCTGTTTAAGGAACCTAAGACCACAAAAAAGGCAAAAGAGCCCACTGGGAGACCTATATAGTGTCCTATACAAGTACGTTCAGATATCCCTAAACCCCTAAACCCCTAAACCCCTGAACCCCTGAACCCTAAACCCCGAAACCCTAAACCCTTAATCCCTAAACCCCGAAACCCTAAACCCTTAAACCCTAAACCCCTAAACCCCAAACCCCTAAACCCTAAACCCTAAAGTAAGTATAAACCATATGACTCCCTTACGCCCACTCAGAGACTCAGTAAACCCCCTAAACCCTAAACCCTAAACCCCTTTCTCCGAAACCTTCGGAGATGCCAGGCCAGGCGTCCGCAGGTGCGCGCATCCCAAAGGGCTATAGGCATCGTTGAAGTTGTCGAACCTTCAGCTGCTTTAGGGCTTAGGGGTTGGGGCTTTAGGGTTTAGGGTGTAGCTTTAGGGCTTTAGGGTTGAGGCTTTGGGGTGTAGGTTTCGGGCTTTAGGGTTTAGGGCTTTAGGGCTTCAGGGTTTTAGGGTTAGGGCTTCAGGGCTTCTGTCTGGCTTTTCGGCTGCATCGCCTCGCGCAGGATGGAGCACGGTCGGATGTGGGGTTTAGGGTTTAGGGTTTAGGGTTTAGGGTTTAGGGTTTAGGGTTTAGGGGTCTCTAGTGTCGTGTTGTTTGAAACCAAGAGATGTAGGCCGCGTTGTCATTAGCCCCAGCTTTGGGATGCAGGTTTTTGTTTTCGAAGCGGGTTACTACGAGAATTTTGGTTTGGTTTAGGGTGCAGTCGTTCAGAAGGTTTCGTGCACTGGCCTCCTGGGCCTACTAGACCTGGAGACTTGTCGAGAAAAGCTAGCGCTAAACCCTAAACCCTAAACCGATGACGTCAACCTTGTTATTGTGCTTGTCTGGACGGGAGGAAACAACTCCAACTCGAGTTTGGGGTTCAGGGCTACTTGAAGGCTGTAGCGGTACCGGTGGTTCGGTACTGGGGTTTGGGATAGTAACTTTGTAGGCTAGTATTTTAGTAAGTATATAGGTATTAGGTACCTGGACCTTTACGGTAAGGCTATATGTAGTAGGCTTAGGTGAAGGTAGCTATGACTGTAGCGTTCGTGCTTGTAACAGCAAGTACTAAGTCACTGATCCTTCATGCAATCGCTCTGTCCTTGAACCCTGAACTCTTGCAGAGCCCTTTATACATCTGTTGCAGAGCCCCTCATAAAGCCGGTAGGTGCAAGCAGCTTGTTTTGATGGATTGCAACATGTCTGAGGCTATGAAGGAGAAACTCTTGATGACCTAAATCCTAAGCCCTAATGCCTGGTTCTGTCACAGAAGGTTGCACCCTGGAGAAGCCGCCCGAATCTCCCTGGATCAAGGGAGTGACATGGCATCCTCATTCCAACATCCTAAACCCTAAACCCT